TGTGGGCTCCTCTTCAACGGTCTCAGCGGGCTCCTCCTCGACTTCGGCGGGCTCCTCCTCGATGCACTCCGCGGGCTCCTCGATGGTTTAGGGTTTAGGGTTTAGGGTTTAGGGTTTAGGATTTTGGGTGTGGGGTGGCTGTGCTGAGTTCGTTTTTTTTGCAGGTACAGGGCTTGGGCCAACTTGGGTCCTGGTGGGGTTAATACTTAATAATTACCTATACTATTTTGGGGGGCTCCGTATTATATTCATACTATAAAGGATCCCAAAACCCTGTTCTAATTGTTCAGGTCCCCTACAGTAGGGTTGCGGGTAAAGTGCCCAAGCCCATTGCAAAGCCTTGAAGGCCCGAGTCGGCGAGCGACGAGCTTTCGATTCCGAAGTCCACGTCTGGAGCTTGGGATTTCCACGTCCTGGGCGGGCATTGAGGTTCGGTAATATAGGGGCCTAGATAATTACCTAGACTATTTAGGGGGTTCCTTATCATAGCCATAGTATGATATACCCCAAAACCCTATTGTAATCATTAAGGCCCCTACAGTATCTGTTTTGTAACCCAAAACCCTATTGTAATCAATAAGGCCCCTACAGTATCTGTTTTGTAACAGTGTTGTAGTAGTGCTGTTATTTTGTTGGGGGGTTGGGGGGGATGCTACAGCCTATCTGTCTGTTCAAGGGTGACTTGAAGAATTGGGATGTCGGAGGTGAAGTTGCAGAAATGGGGGCGTCTCGAGCAGTTCCATTTTGCTTTAGGGTTTTAGGGTTTAGGGTTTAGGCCGGGGGTTGCAGTATAGGGTATGCCGGATTGGTTAGGGGTATCTGAAAGCGCTCCGATGTTCAAGAACCCCATTTGTGGTAGAGGCCCTGTCATCTAGTAGAATCTAGTCTAGGTCCAGGCCTGCTCTTGAAATCAGGGGAGAAGTGACAGCCTGCGCATGGGCTTGAAGTTTCGGCTCCATCCCATACGCGATCCTCAGAGGTGACGAGATCCTTGCAACAGTCTTTGAGATTGATCGTGCGCACCCTTCTCATACACTTGCACTCGAGCTCGCCCCTAAACCCTAAACCCTAAACCTTCAACCCGAAACCCCCAAACCCCGAACACCCGAAATCCTATGCCCCCATGATCCGGAACCCTAAACCCTAAGCCCTA